CCTGTTTGGCTGAAAATCGTGCCCGGTGCGTCCAGCTCCGGACCCGAGTCTCGGGTTTCCACTAGTGCCTATTTGACCAGTAAGCCTGGTCTCTTCTATGATTTTGTTTTGTTCCACCTTTATCTCCCTTTCCATCCAGGACCGTCTAACGTGAGCTCTTTCAGAGCAAGTAGGAGTGGTCCACAAGTACCATCTAGTTCTTCTGATCTAGGGCCATGGAAGCTGAAGTTCAAATGTTCCAATAGTTCACTGAACGAATTGGTGCCAAGAGTCTTTGATCTTCTTCATTCTTTGATCCAGTTGTACCTTAGATGGCTGCTCACCAGCTTTTAAGATCCCTGTCGTGACTCATCAAAATAGGATAAGGAACATCGTCTTTATAGACTATGTTAAGTCAATTGACCATGGTGTTTCGGAAACTATGGTCCAGCCCCCAGGCCCCATGATTTATTCCTTCAAGGTATTTGGAATGACAGCATCATTTGATTAAATGTAGAATACCTAGAATATTCTCTAAAGGGAAATCTGACTTTTTAAAATTCAAGTAATTTTATTTAAAAGTCAAATTTTATCACTTCACTGATAATATACTTCACAATGAAGCTGCCTTTTTACTGTGTATTTGTTCGAGACACATACAAACATAACTGGAAAAAAATTCTCTTTGTGTCAAAGTCAGTTTCTAAAATTCTAAAGAAAAAGTACACATGTTCTGTTGACTTTGTTTCTTCTAAGATGCAGTCATTAGAAGACACTTACCAAAGTCTGCTTCTTCAGTAGTGGAGCGTCCCCATCAAAAACAAAAATAGGACGAATTCGAAAAAATAAGAGTTTGCAGAGGCGATGAAACAAAGTGAGAAGATGAGCATTTTCTATGGCGTTCCCATGACGATCTCGGACTCCCTTCAGTGCTTGGTTTAACCAGATGCTAATGTCTGAAGGAATTCTTAAGGAAAAATATTTTGGCATTTCTTATCCTATTTTAACAATTTCAAATTCCAAATAAGTAATCACATCCAAATGTTAGACACTAAACATTCATTGCTATTTACATAAAACTGGAATAGTGTTTGGCCTGGGGAGAATTTACCTAAAAATGTTTGTACCCTCATTACTCCTACCTAGATATTGAATTTTAAAACCTTGCAAAGACAAATGTGCCCTTGGAAAAGTCTAATAGCAAAGAATTGCTTCTAAAACAAAAGTAGTAATCTCTAAGAAATTTGAGCAAATTAGCACAATCTTTCTAAAAGATAACTCTGGTGACAGCAAACACCTTAAAATCTTGCAAACTTGCATTCAATGTAGCCTAAGAATC